CCCCAAAACCCCAAAACCCCAAAACCCCATTAGGTTATGTAAAGTAATTTGTGGAGAGTAAGTATTTTAGGGATTAATTGATTTGAGTAGGTCAACGTAAGTTTAAAGAAAGAGAGGTTTGCAATCAAAAACCTGCGCAAGGAACAGCAGCGGATTTCTCAGATTGTACTTTTCCAGTGCTCTCAATCTTCCCGTTAGAAAAGTTCGATAGCTTAAGTCTTCTTCTGAGTTCTTCAATCCACTCAAGACCATAGTTAGGTCTGAGTTTGGAGTTCCTCACAACCCCCACATTATTGTTTATAATTTCAAGATTCTTTCTGAACTATTCGATGTATAACTCAAATTATTGTTCTTCTTCATCTTGATATCTACTCTAAGTGCTGGCTGTATAGGTAGAGCCCCTCTGCTACTGTTAAGGATTACTGCTCTGATGAGTTTAGTTTTATTGCTTTCCTGGTGGACTTTTAGTATTTGAAGGTTTCTCATCGCTAGAATTTTTGAATTGCTAATTCTAATAATTTTGAGCATCAGTCAAATCCTCTTAAATACCCTCCATTGAATTTTTCTTCTATTTATTCTTTTTACCTTTGGTTTTCTTTTAAGTTGCTACTGCTTATGGATTCTGCTAATTCTACTGTCCTTTAGATTTATCATTTTACTCAATAAAGCTGATAAGCTCATCTAAATCCATTTACTGCAATTTCTAGTTGATTTCATTTTACACATTAGTTTAGTTGGCTTTATCAGATGTATAAAATCTATTTTAATCTTACTTTGAACCTATTATGGGTTTGATGTGCTTTTATTGTTTCTCTTCCTATTTCTTCTTCTCTAGGTTTCCTAGTTCTAATCTCCTTAGAACTGCTGATTTGGCTATTATCGATTATTTTGCTAGTTTTAAGTTTGCTATTGCTGCTGCTTTTTATTTTCTATAAGAAATATTTATTGAATTAGAATAGCTTACTCTAGGATTAAAGCTATAATACTTCCTTAGTATTCAAATTAAGCTCACGAGCTTTTTTGTTAAAATCGAATGATCTATTTAAAGTCTTGATAAATGTTTCGTAAGTTTCATCAGGAAAGTTAACACCCTCCTTAATCTCATTGATTTTCTCTAGATATTACCCAAGCTAATCAGAACCATCCTTACGATCCAATGCCTCTATACCCTCGTTTATCAAAGTCTTAATATATGGATTCTATAAAACATTCTTGTTGTAAAATGTATAGTGAATCTTTTTGAATTAGGTAGTTTGAGTGGAAGGATTAAAGTTTAAGAAAGTCAATATCTATAGCCACATATCTTCTAAGAGATTTGTATTGTTCTTGAATAGCTCAAAGTACTCTCCTATAGCTGATAGAATCTCATCATACTTAACTTTTTCATCTTAGTATTTAGTAGCTCTTAGAGTGTATGGCATCTGGTTATTTTGTTACTAAATTTACTGCTATTCCTGATTTTATTGAGTTGGCTGTTGCTGTTATTATTGATTTTATTGCTATTAGTTCTATCCTCTGTTCTAATTAGGGGGCTGATTATTCTACTAATTAGTATTAGTTTGATGCACATTTTGTCTTGTAACCTATGTCTGTTGTTGTATAGGCTATTGCTATTATTGTTGCTGCTATAATTATTGCAATTATTCAGGTGTAAGATTCTGGTTCAACTCCTTCTAGTCACTTTAAATTTCAACTATTAGTTTCTAATCTTTAGAATCTTTGTTTAATTTGTCCCGGACTTAACCAATGATTTCTTAGATCTTGCGCTTGAATAGATCCAATAAGCTTTCTGCTGTAAGGCCTACATTATTTAGCTACCATTAAAGCTATATGTAAGTTAATTTAACTTAAATCTTGACTTACATCCTCAATAATAATCTTATACTCTTTTACATACTCTTCTGGCTTTTTGCCATTATAAAGATGAATTAGCATATTAGTAAGTTACTAATCAAGCTCCTCCTTCTTTTTCTGTTAAATTTTGTTAAACTTTTCTATCTCTATAAATTGATGTTTAGCCTACGAATTCTTACAAGATTAGTTATTCTGAGGGTCAAAGTTAGGGTTATAAACATTAGCATTTTAGGGACCTCCCATCATTTAACTTTATCTATTGAAATTCTATTATTAGTAGTATTGCTAATTTTGTTGATTTTTATACTGTTGATTTGGATGATGCCTTTAATCATTCATATCCTGCTAAATTAAATTGGGGTCAATGGAGCCATCTGAAGCAGTAGTAGTCTAATTATGATATTGGTGTTGATTCATTTCACTGCATGATTGCTCAAAATCAGATCCATTATCATAGTAGTTGTTCTGAGAGTCGCCACTTACATCAGATTCATCTTGATACTAGTCATCATCTTCATCCTCCTCTTCATCGCTGTCTACTTAATATTGATTCTCAGGAGAGTTATCATCCATTCCCTGCATATATTAAGTCTACTATATTTAGTCTTTCTAGCAAAAATGAGAGTGAACTACTTCTCCATTTTTAATCCTGAAGTTTGGCTCGATTTGGTTGACATCTGCGAATTCGTCAAATACATAGTTGTCATCTTTTATTTCTTCCTCCATAAATTGCTATTAAAAAGCCTCCTAATTTAGACTATTAGTACTCATATCCTGAAAATTTTAAGCCTGAGGAAAATGCTAAGGCTATCATTAATTATGCTGTTGATGAGTCCTTCTTTCGTCATCTATTTCAAACATATTAATTATATTAAAAAGTACCCTTAGAAGGGGGTTGATAACTTTAAGATCTCTAGTCACTCTGTCTTGACTTCTATTATTCCTTATTAACTCGATTGCTTCCTTTCATTATCTTTTAAATTAAATGCTAATATTAATATCAAAATTTATAAAGTATATTCTACCAGATGGGGTTTTGGGGTTTTGGGGTTTTGGGG